AATCCCCAAAAGCCGGACATGTCCGGGAAAATCCGGACGTATGGTAACCCTATCCAACTTCAGTCCCGGGTGGCGGGGCTCAGAGACATGGGCTTCAGCCCCATGCAGTGGTGGAGCTCACTGCCCTGGGCCCCAGTGAGTCTAATGTTAGCCCTGCTTGGAGGCCCCCCTGAAACTTGGTTGAGACCCTCTAGGGGGCCCCAGAACCCTGGTTGAGAACTACTGAGCTAGAGAACTCACATCCTAGATGCACTAGGAATAAGATGTGTAATACACCCTGACCAATGGGTCACCTATTGTCATGACTGGGGCTTGAGCCCTCATGTCTAGTAGTCAGAGCAGTAGTTTGACCTGGAGCCAGGAGCCCAAGAGCAGGTCCATCACAACTGGCAGGGGAATCCACCTCGTTGCACAAACACTTCCTTGAACTCCTCCTTCACTTTGATGCTACCAAGCCATGGTCTAGTCCCCACAACACCTCTCGTCTATGCACATTAATACACCACTGGCATAGAGGGCCAGTTTATACACCATTTTGTCCATGGTAAACATCATTTATTTATTTACATTGAAAACCTGGAATGGTAAGAGTACAAACAGAAGCAAAAAAACAAAACAATTTGTTGTCCCTTTGACCTGAGCAGTTCACTGGTACGTGTGGTCTTGTGGGGCTAGGAGAACGAATTGATGATACAAGTCCTCTTCCACTGAGGCTATAGCCACACTACAGAGCTTACAGCAGCGAGGCTCTATTGATACAGCTGCACCACTGTAGACTTCTAGTGCAGATGCTGTAAGCTGACGGACTTAATTACTCCAGCCCCCATAAGTGGCAGTACCTATGTCATTGGGAGAAGCTATCCCACTGACTTAGTGCTGTCAACATCGGAGCTTAGGTTGGTGTAACTTATGTCGCTCAGAGGGGTGACTTTTTAACACCCCCTAGAGCAGAGGTGGCCAACCTGTGGCTCTGGAGCCACATGGGGCTCTTCAGAAGTTAATATGCGGCTCCTTGTATAGCACTGACTCCAGGGCTGGAGCTACAGGCACCAACTTTCCAATGTGACAGGGGGTGCTCATTGCTCAACCCCTGGCTCTGCCACAGGCCCTGCCCCCACTCCACCCCTTCCCGCCCCCTCCCCTGAGCCTGCCGTGCCCTCACTCCTCCCCCCCTTCCCCCAGAGCTTCCTGCATGCCACGAAACAGCTGACCAGGAGATGCAGAGAGGGAGGGGGGAGGCGCTGATCGGCGGGGCTGCCGGTGGGCAGGAGGTGCTGGGAGCAGGGAGCTGACAGGGGGCTGCTGATGTATTACTGTGGCTCTTTGGCAATGTACATTGGTAAATTCTGGCTCCTTCTCAGGCTCACCACCCCTGCCCTAGAGACATAAGTGGTAGTGTAGAAAGAGAGCGCTTGGCAGCCCCACTGACTGTAACAGGGTCTGTGATTCTCTTTGACCTAAAGACTCATTTAATGGCATCTATTACCACAAGCGTTCTCAAACTCGGGGTCGGGACCCTTCAGGCAGTCACGAGGTTAATACATGGTGGGGTCGTGAGCTGCCAGCCTCCACCCCACCCTTGCTTTGCATCCAGCCTTTATAATGGTGCTAAATATATTAAAAAGTGTTTTTAAATTTATAAGGGAGGGTCACACTCTGAGGCTTGCTGTGTGAAAGGGGTCACCCGTACAAAAGTCTGAAAACCACTGCTTAGAACCGTTCAGCAGAACTATATGTACATACTATGTTTTGAACAATGTAAAAACCACAAAAGACTGAAATCATTGACCATAAGAACAGCTGAACAGCAGCCCAACATTAAAAAAAGAACTTAAGTGCTTCATTTTCAGAGCTGCAGGAAACACGTAGTAACTACAGACCAGGGTTCTCAAACACGTGGTCCCCCCTCCCCCCGCCTGCTCCTCTGCCTACCTCCAGGCCAGGGGTGGGCAAACTACAGCCCATGGGCCGGATCCCTGAAGTGGCCAGCACCACATCCCTGCAGCCCCCCCACCCCCCGCCCTTAGCCCCCCTCCCCCACCTTGCACCCCTCCTGCAGCCCAACCCCCTGCCCGGAGCCCCCCCTGCACCCCGCACCCCTCCTACACCCCAACCCCCTGCCGCACCCCACACCCCTCCTGCAGCCCAACCCCATGCTCGGAGCCCCCTGCCGCACCCCGCACCCCTGCTGAATCCCTCACCCCTCCTGCACCCCACACCCCAACTCCCTGCCCGGAGCCCCCTGCCGCACCCCACACCCCTCCTGCACCCCCTGGGGGCAGGGAGGGGTTGGGGACTTCAGGGAAGGGGCAGGGCCTCATGGAAGGGGTGGAGTGGGGGCGGGGCCAGCGAGGGGGGTGTCAGTGATGCGGCCCTCGGGCCAATGCACTAGTCCTCATTTGGCCCTCGTGATCATTTGAGTTTGAGACCCCTGCTATAGATCATGGGCAGCCAAGCTTACTGACCACCTAAGCCACATGAAACAAAAAACAAAACCTTCCTTCTTGGTACCCCAAGAAGCGACAAAATCAAAACGGCACAGGGTAATAGTTCTTAAGAAATCTTTCTCTTCGCAAATTCATCAGGTTTGCTACAGATCCAGTTCCTCTTTGTGTCGCACGTTGAACTGCGGGCAGTGATTCCATATATATAGGCACATTCTCCTCCTCCTCCTATTTGAAACCTGCAAAAAAGTAAGAGCAATGAAGCTACAATCAGTCAGGGGTCAGACCTGTCCTTCTCATCTCAGAGGACTCTTGAGAGAATGAAATTGACCCCTGTGTATGAGGCCATTACACATAGAGTGTGAATAATGGATTTTTCAGTTCACTGGCAATTCCAAAAAAAATAAAAAAAATTGTTCTATGTTGACCTGAAAATGACATTTTTTAAAAATTTTGGAGAATCAAAAAGTTTAAACATTTTGACCCCAAACGATTTCGTTTGGCAAAACTGAAACACTTGATTTTTACGATTTTAAAATATTTTGTTTTTTTAATATTAAAGGCAGTTCCAAAATAAAAAAAAGTTATTTCAAATGGTAAATCAAAATATTTTGATTTTTTTCAGGATTTTCTCTGTTTCAGTTAAAAAAAAAAAAAAAAAAAAAAATCTAGTGAAGCCAACATGATTCACAAAACATTTCAGTGTGGCTGAATCTGCTATTCGGAAAAAATTTCACTTAGCAGTAATTACAAGGCCTATGAACCATAAGTCTTTTCTGCTACCTCCCTGACAACGGAATTTCTCCCCTGCTATTAACATCTCTCCTGTTAGTTCTACCCTGTGGAGTCAGCACAGAATTTGAGTCCAAGTCCTAGTGAAAATATTGAATTGTTATGCAAGCAGACTAAGAACCGGTGATTATTTCCAGTGGGTCTGTCTGTATTCAGCCTTTTGTGTGGAACTTCAATTCCACATATGGGCAGTGTGAATGGACCGGCCCTCTGCTCCCAGAGCCCTGATTGGCTGGCAGGAAACCCTGCCTTACTTCCAGCTCTTCTCCTATTGGAGAAGGGACTGCACAGGCTGCAAAACAGGGCATGTGTTGCTGCCGGGATACAGCAAGATGAGAGGTAGAGGACAGATTCTATTTATCAGGCTCAGGTCCTTATCTACACCCCAACCATAGTAGCAGAGCACCGTACAATCTTTAATGTATTTATCCTCACTGCTCCCCTGCTTTTATCCCAATTTTTTCAGATGGGACACAGGAAGGCTAACAGACTTGATCAAGGTTATATAGGAAGTCTGTGACAGAGTAAAGAATTAAGCCCAGGTCTCCTAGTGTCAGGTCAGTGCTGTAACCATCAGGCCATCCTTCCTGCTAAAGGAGCAGCTCTGGTCTCTGTGAGCCTGCACGGCCTTTGAGAATCAGCCAGAGCCCAAAGGGAAGGAAATACTCCGATTGGTGAATGAAGGACTGATGCTGGAGGGGCAGTTGGACTGTGCATTTGTCAATGAAGGTGCTGGAATGATTTCTGGGTGAACTGCCTCCCCAAGGACTGTAGGAGGGGTCTCCATCCATCCCACAGCCAGGGGTAGGTGTTTAGAACCAACCAACAGACAGGGGAGCCCCCACCACAGCTGCCTGTGACCCAAGAGAGTAAATAGAAAGGAACTCACAAGTCGCTGAATGCTGAGCCATTTGTCCACTTCCAGGGCTGGCCCGGTTCCTTTCTGACACCGATCCAGGGATCAAGGTTGCCCTTATGTCGCATCAAGAAATCCTTTTGAAGAATGCAAAGGTGAAATAGACATTACAAACCAAACCTCTATGGACTCACCTCTCAGATCCTAGATCCGAAGGCCAAAAGGGACCATCAGATGATCTAGCCTGACCTCCTGCACAACAAGGACAAGGAGAAGTGACTCCAGTGAGGAGTGACCCAGTTACTCCTGTAACCAGCCCATAACTTCTGGTTGAGCTAGAGTGTGTCATTCAGAAAGTCATCCACGCTTGACTTAAAGACTGCAAGTGACGGAGAATCCATGACCTCCCTCCGGAAGCTGCTCCCATGGGTAATTAACCACTGACAAAACGTTGTGCCTTACTTCCAGGTTGAATTTATCTCGTTTCAACATCTCTGGATCTCCCTCTTCCTTTGCCTGCTAGACTGTTCTAGTATCGGATATTCTCTCCCTGTATAGATAAGGCCAACACCGAGTCCCATATTCCCCCTGTGCCTCAGTCCAACATCTGTAAAATGGGGATAATAATCTTCTCTTTGTCTGTCTTGAATATTTAGAGTGTAAAATCATCTACACAGTGAAAGACGTTCCTGTGTGTCTATGCAGCACCCAGCACAATGGGGCCCTGATCTCAGCTGGGGCAGGGACTGTCTCTCGCTGTGTGTCTGTGCAGCGCCCAGCACAACAGGGCCCTGATCTCAATTGAGGCTCACTGTTACAATGCAAATACAGATATTTTGTGTTTTGCATTCAGCAATGGCTTCGCTCGGTTTTGGGAGGTAGCAGCTGCCTCACTTCGGGGGGTGCTATTCTTTTTCTCCTGGGCTGAGCTAACTTTACTCTGTACATACAATCATCTCTATTTTTTTTTTTTTTATAATTTCATCACCTTTTCCTGCAGGGTGTCAAGCCAAGCCAAGGAGGCACCGTGGGAAGAGCAGGAATGTTGGCTGAAGGTCCAGTCTGCTTCATCGTCAGAGAAAAGGTAACATTTTCCTTGGTACCCAATCCAGTGTTCAGGGCAGCAGGCGGCAGGACTGTCGGGAGGAGTCACACTGGCCTTTGACACTGAAAAGTAAAAAAGGGTAAGAGCATCTCTTTCTTCCACCCCACCTCAGACACAGTTTTCAGAAAATCTGGTGGCTGCTGCAAGGGTCTAGAAGCATCAGCAATAAAACAGGATGAGATTTACAGAGAGAAATGATCCCCAAACTAAAGTTAAGCTCCTACTCTAAAATGAGGTTGATAGAACCCCCCAGTCTGTAAAGCAAAAATGCCCATCTAGCAGATTTATTCACAGATACAAGCTCTGGGTGTTATCTTTAGGGCAGGGATGTGGAACAGCTTTCCCATTTAGGGTAGGACTCTCAAAACTTCTAAGTGCTGGGCTAACGCTGCTCCCATGGAAGTGAACAGTAATCTCCCCCTCCCCCCGGCAACCTGCCTGGCATAGTCAAATTCTGTAACGATAATAAAAATACCTAATCTCAAAGTGCATTACAGAAGAGGTCAGTATCATTATCCCCATTTTACAGATGGGGAAACTGAGGCACAGCTGTAAGCGGTGACTTGACCAAGATCACCCAGTGGCAGAGCTAGGAATAGAACCCAGGGCTTGAGACCCATTCCAGTGCTCTATCTACTAGACAACACTGCCTCCCTGTAGCCACTCAGCTTTCACCTTTTTAAAAACATCACATTCTAGTCTTCATGGTAGCAAAGAGAGTCGTCCAAATGTGACCCAAGCCACTCCATGCTGCAACATCTGCTTGAGTTTAGAGAGATCCTGAGCCAATTGCTCTGAGAGGTGTGAATTGCCCTCCACGTCAATTAATCTCATTGCATCTGAAAAAGTGGGTTTTTTACCCACGAAAGCTTATGCCCAAATGAATCTGTTAGGGTATGTCTACACTACAGGATTAATCCGAATTTAGATAATTCGAATTTGGGAAACAGGTTGTATAAATTCGATTGTGCGCGGCCACACTAAGCACCTTAATTCGGTTTTTAACCACATTAATTCGGTGGTGTGCGGCCACACTACCCCATTAACTTAAACACAGTAATTCGGTGGTGTGCGGCCACACTAACCCTAATTCGAATTAACAAAATCGATTTAGGCGCTACTCCGCTCGTCGAGGTGGAGTACAGAAATCGATTTTAAGTGCCCTTTAATTCGAATTAACTGGCTCTGTAGTGTGGACGGGTGAAGGGTTAATTCGGATTAACGCAGCTAAATCCGAATTAAAGTCCTAGTGTAGGCCAGGCCTCAGTCTTTAAGGTGCCACCGGACGCCGCGTTGTTTTTGTGAATACAGACTAACACGGCTACCCCTCTGATACGTCTCATTACAGTGTTCACTTTAAACCCTCAGGATGACATGTTAAATACCAGCATTAAATAGTTAATTGTCATTTCAGCAGACAGGATATGAGAGATGTGGGAGTGAAACTCCTGGAGCGTTTGATTAGAGAACAGCCGCAAGGAAGGGAATGCAGAGGGAAGAAAGGAGCACAGAAATAACAGGGAAGGGGAAGCGAAATAAAGAAAAGAGGATGGGAGAGAAAAAGCAACAAAGAGCAGGAATAGCAGGGTTCCAGAGAAAAGCAAGTTCCCCCACTCAGTGATGCTGAATGTGACAGTAAGTGACTGACTTAGCAATACATCATGACAATAATCAAGAGCTTAGTTAGTACAAAAGGCCAGATTCCACCTCAATCTCTGTTCAGACCTACCACTGGCATCATTGGGAGACCAGCTGTAGACCATAATTAAAAATGGAATTTGGCTCTCTTCTGCCAATGCGTTTGATACCCTTGCTTTAAGATGCATGCAGTGCATAAAATCAACCAGCAGGCGTCACTGATGCTTTGCTGTAAACATAAGAACAGGAGTACTTGTGGCACCTAAACATAAGATGCAAGAGGAGGACTTCATAGAGGCAAGGCAGATGGGATCAGACCAGAAGTCTATATATTGCACTAACTGTGCATGTTTAACCCTTTGAGGTTCTGTTCTGGCTGGACTGGCAATAGAAGGAGCAGGAGGCCCCGCAGCAAGGCTGTGGCATTGTAACTGCAGGCAGCTGATGTGCGTGAAACCAGAGAGGACAGGACATGTCATTAGGACAGTTCTAGGTCGGAATGGAACACACAGAGCTGGGTTACACACTCACCTGACCAAGCAATCACTGCGGGAAGGATAACTGCAAGTAGAACTGCAGCTACGACAGCAGCTAGGATTTTCCATGCACCACTTCTCCTCACCTTGGAGTCAAACCAATGACCTATAAAAGAAGAAGCCATCAATACTCACTGAGCTGCTCTAGAGGTGAGGAAGGGTCACTGGGGATAGGAACATAAAAACTGTCAGACTGGATCAGACCATTGGGTCCATCTCGCCTGGTGTCCTGTCTCTGACCACGGCCAACACCAGATGCTTCAGAGGAAAGGGCAAGAACCCGCGGTAGGAGATCAGAGACAACGTGCCCCCAGGGACAATTCCCTCCTGAACCCATTATTTAGAGGCTGCATTTAGCCCTGAAGCAGAAAAGATGGACAAACCAGCCTAGTAAAGTTAAGACACCACCACCATGAAGCTTGAGAAGTCAACCTGCTTTGAAACTGGGACAGTCTCCCGTCTCCCCTCGCAGAGGCAGAGTTCTGACCATTCCCCACCCACTTCGACCTTCTGTAGAACATCACTGTGGGCTCAGGAGTCTTTAACCCACTCTGGATTTTCATGAGTGCTACTGTCAGGGATGACCCTCCTCCCAGATCTTCAGGGGTGGATCTGGGACGGGAAGGTTGCAGAGCCTATAAGAGGAGTGTGGTCCAATGTCAGAGGAGATGGGGCTCTGGGAGAGAGATTTTCAACGTCTGGATAATTCAGATTACTGGGCTGGAATTTTCAAAAGCACCTGGGAGTTAGGAGCACAAATCCCTTTTGAAAATCTCACCCTTAAATGTGTGGATGCTTGTTAGAGCAGAACTCTGAGCTAATAGACGTTCTCCCATCCCTTGTGACGCTGAGAGACCCCTTGTGATCAGTGGCAGCAGCTGCAATAGTGAGTGACTTTGGAAAGCACACAATGGATGCTGCCTGAGGGACAGAGTCCCCACAGCAGCCCCCACTTCCTCAAGCTCCACTTCCCCCTTACCTCGGGGCCTCCTTCCTTGTGCCTGATATGGTGTGTACAGCTCAGTCTCTCCAACGGCACAACTTCTCACAGCTCCTGATATGCACCCACCTGACTAACTGGGAGGCTTTTAACTAGTTTCAGCCAGCCCTGATTGGCTTCAGGTGTCCCAATCAACCTAGCATCCTCCCTGGCTTCTGGAAAGCTCTCAATTGGCCCCAGGTGTCTTAATTGACCTGGAGCAGCTGCCATTTAATTACCCTGGTAGCAGTGATTTGTTTAACCTGGGGCTAATATAGCTATCTCCCACTACTTTTCTATAGGCATCTGGCCTTGCCCCGTCACAGTATGTATATTGATTTTTCAACCAACACTCTCACTCTTTTTTTTTTTTAAATAAATTCTTAGTTTAGTTAATAAGAATTGGCTATAAGTGTGTATTTTGGGTAAGATCTACGTTGCAATTGGACCTGGGCATGTGGCTGATCCTTTGAGATCGGAAGAACCTTTTCTTTTATATGAAATAAGATTTTCAGTAACCATCATATATTGACAAGTGTACCTAAATGGAGGCCTGAGGCTGGGCACTTTAAGGGAACTGCGTTATTTGGACTTCTGAGTAACCAATGAGGCGATACAGAAGCTGTTTTGGGCTGGCTTGATAAATCGAAATATTGGAATATCCACCAGCATTTGGGGTTTGTCCGCCCCATTCTGTTTGCAGTTCACCCTAATTGAGTGACCTCAGGTGGCTCCCACAGGGCACGGGTGTCACAAGAGGATAACAGCCTACAACTGCTAAACGCTAACAAAATTATTGCTGTAGCCAACGTAGTTGGTATCTACACAGTAGTGCTAAAGGTGCCAGGTTCTAACCCTTTCTGGCAACTCATCTCGGGTGTGTTGTTACACTGAGGGCAGGTCTCCATTTAAAACGCTGCACTGGTACAGCTGTGCCACAGTAGCAATTTAGTGAAGATGCTACTATGCGGATGGAAGAGCTTCTCCCATTGGCATAGTTAATCCAGTTCCGGGAGTGGCGGTAGCTATGTTGACGGGAGAAGCTCCTGTCTACACTGGCGGTTAGGTCGGTATAACTGAGTGACGTAGCTATACCAAATAAGACTGTAGTGCAAATCTGGCCTCACAGTCAGAAGATGACACCATGCAGGAGACACAGCTTTGACACATTAGCTAGCCAAAGGGGGTCAGAGTAAGACTGGAGAAGAGAGAATGAGGGTATGTCTATACTACCAGCCAGATCGGCAGGCAGCAATCTATCCAGCGGGGGTCAATTTATCATGTCTAGTCTAGATGCGATAAATCAACCCCCGAGCGCTCTCCCGTCGACTCCTGTACTCCACCAGAGCGAGAGGCGCAGGCAGAGTCGACGGGGGAACGGCAGCAGTTGACTCACCACAGTGAAGACACCATGGCGAGTAGGTCGAAGTACATCGACTTCAGCTACATTATTCACATAGCTGAAGTGGCGTAATTTAGATCGATCCCCCCCCCCCAGTGTAGACCAAGCCTGAGTGTTATAAATATACAGTATAAGCATTTTGCTACTTCACACTAACACCACAGAGTATGCCTGTCTCTGTACTGCTTGGATTACCTATAATATTAATGAAACTTGGCTTTCCTAACAAACACAAAGCAGATAATGAGCCGGCATTTCAACATCAAGCCTTCAGTCCGCAACTCAGGAGTATAAAGTAATGTAACATTCTGGCTACAGGAGTCTTGAGTCACCCTGGTAGCTAGTCAACATGAAGAATATGAGCTCACAATTGCTACCAGCTAATGGAAATAATTATTTAGGTCAAATTATAGAAGCCCATTGTCTTCACTGAAACTGCTCACACAGTCAAAGTTAACTGGGCTTGGAAGGATTCGATTTTTTTAATCGGTAAATGTTGGTAAACATCACTTTCAGTACACACACAAACCAGTGAAAAAATATGTCCATTGAAATAATAATTGAAATCTAAGATAGGCAAAGTAAGAAAAATGCTGCTTGAGAATGTATTTATTAAAGTAAAAATCCAGTGATTCAGACTTCTGAATTGGGCTTGTTGCAAATAGGCTAGTGAATGAATACTAAAAATAGGCATGGTTTATTGATTTAAAGATATTTACTTTGTATACTTTGACAATTTGTGTTTTAACGGTTTATAAAGCTTTAACTTTTAGGCCTCAAATCAGAGGCAATGCATGGGGGGAGGCACGCAGGGTCAGATAGGAGTTCCTTCCAGCCACAGGCAGGAGGAGGGGGGGGAAGGAATGACCTGGTCTGTGTCTTTGCAGAGCTCATCCCTTGTCCCTCCGCAGCTCGAAGCAGCCCCTGTCCCATCCCTTCCTGACTGCACAGTGCAGAAAGACAGCTAACACCTCCAGGTTGCTGCTGGCCACCAACATAACCCAGCCACCTCCTGTTCCCTGGCTGCAGCGTGGGCAGGAAGGGGTTAAGCCCTAAGGACGCACTGTGCACTGACCCCAGGGAACCTGACTGCAGGGGCTTCAGCAGCTATGGAGCCTGGCCGGAGGTGGGGGGATGCCTAGAGGACGGAGCAACCCCTACTCCCTGGGGCCAGGACTAGGGTTGCAGAGTGTCGGGGTTTTGCACCTTCCCATGCGGAGCTGGCTCCCTTGGCCCCTCCCCCCAGGCTGAGGATGGCAGCTCCTGGGTCCTAGTGCCAGTCATCATCGTCTACGTGCACTGGGTCCTGTTTCTGTATCATGGCGAGTGCCCATGGGGGAACAGGGGAAAGAGAAGGGAATGGGGGCGTGGGACAGGGGACAACATGGAGAGGAAAGGGGATGGGATGGGGAAAGGAGCAGGGGAAAGAGAAAGGGATGGGGGGAGTGGGAAAAGGGCAGGTGGGGAGACGAAAGGGGATGGGGGCAGGGAGAGGCGAGGAAGAGGATAGGGTGGGGTTGCCACCAGTCTGGTTTTTGGCATCTGTCTCCAGGTGCCATTTTGGGTTGCGAGGTGTCTGGTTTTTGGCACCTGGCAACCCTAAATGGCACCTGAACCAAAAACCTGGTTACCACCGGGCGGGGGGAGGCACCAGGTCATTAACCCATGCCAGCCCCTGCTCAGCCGGGACCACCTCCTACCTGCAGGCAGGCTCCTTGAGATGATCCAGGAACTGCAGGGGGGGAGAGGGGGGGAGACACCTGGGGTTGGGAAGAGACGAGCAGAGCAAGCAGTGGAGGCAGGGCTTGGGGGGGAGGGAGATTTGGAGAATGGCGTGGAGCCTGGGGGAAGAGACAGAGCAGGGGCGGGGCATTGGGGGTCCAATTACAGTAGAACCTCAAAGATATGAAAGCCAGAGTTATGGACTGACTGGTCGACCAGACACCATGTAAAACTGGAAGTAACCAACCAATCAGGCAGCAGCAGCGACCAAAAAAAAAAAAAAAAAAAAAAAAAAAAAA